TGACGAAGGGCTTAAGCTCGAAACGTCAGCTTTCCAAATTTTTCACGTTGGTAATTCGACTTTAATCAACTCGTTCGATAAAACCAAATTTTCGTGTTTCACTCTCCCACTGACGCAGCACCCAGAGATTCCTTAGAAACAAGTAAATCATTTACTTTCTCACGACCACAATGAGATATTTAATTAAACCAGTCGAAGCCCCGGGGAGCACCGATTTTATCAACCTTCCTTTCAAAACGAATGAACTGGAAATAGCATTGATGAATTCATTTTTTCTGTCAACCAATTGTTTTTTTTTAAGCAACAAATCTCATGACTAGAGCGTCGGTTTTCCCTGAGGGTTTAGCTCAGTTGGTTGAGTTTAGTTGGTTGAGTTCGGCACTAGCGTGCGGGAGATCGCGGGTTGAAAACCCCGGCCGGACCAACACTCAGGGTCTTTAAATAACTGAGGAGAAAGTTCTGCCTTTGTAATGAAATCTGCAAATGGTTAGACTTTCTAGTCTTCTCGGATAAGGACGATTAAACCGTAGGCCCCGTCTCACAACTCTACCGGGCATAGAAATGGCCACGGCCAGATACTTCAAGTAAGATTGAGATTTCAAAGAAGTTCGACTATTTGTGAAGCCGTGTCAGTACCCGAGATCCATTCCCCTCCTGACTCGGTCGTGAGCAAAAGGGGCTTGGTTTTTCGCAAGTTTTGAAGCCTATAAAATGGCAGGATTTGTTAGAAGAAGGAAAAAATTAAATGACCCCAATACGTTTCGAACAGGTTTTTTTTTTTTTTTTGTATTTTAATGAATTTTTTGTTTTAAAATGTTTTACATTTTTTTTACATTCTGACTTATGAACACGGAACACGTAAAGAAAAGATACAAAAAACGGAAAGGAAAACTAAACATTATACATCGCAGACTAACACACAATTACATACTTACAAAAAAGAAAACAAACGAAACAAAAAACCCAGTACCTTCTTTTCTATTTACATGAAAAAAAAAGTAAAATAAAATAAATAAATAATAAAGATTAATAATAAATAAAGTAAGCGGAGAAGAGATCGTATGCTAATCAGTTTTATATTTGCCCCATTTCATATTGTGGGTCTCCAACTTATTGTTTGACTCAGCGATCATTGTCTCTATTAAGAAGACAGTATTAATTTTGGAATGAAGAACTCTGATGGAGGGAGGATATTTGTTCTGTCTACAAGAGTATAGATATTGTTTTGCCAGTAATAAAATATGATTCACAAATATCTCATCCTCACATCCAATAATACCAAACAGTATATCTTTGTCTGAAAGATTTTCAATCTTGACCTTATGATCAACAAGCCATTTTATAACCTCAGACCAGAAATTCTCAGTATAATGACAAGACAGGAAGAGATGTTCGAGGGATTCGTCCGATTCACCACACAAGGAGCACGCTGGAGAAGGTATAATACCAATTTTGCATAAGAAGGTATTTGTCACAAGGCATCTGTTTAATAATTTATACTGAAATTCGCGAGTCTTTGTATCTAAGGCAACACGATATGGCAAGCTATAGATCTTTGTCCAGTTCAAAGTATCATTGACAAAATTAACATCAAACTTTAGTTTAGCAGTTGGTGGAGTGACGATTCTGTTTCGAAGTTCTTTATAGACAATTTTCGAATACGCTTTTTCAAGTAAAACAATTTGACCACTTAAGCGTAACTTAATCTCATCACGCAAATTGAATGGTGTGTCACCTGTATAGATGCAGGATTTCAACGATTCACGCCATTGAGTTGGTAGAGCGTCTATTAAAGAGACAAGCCTAAAAGCATCCAGCGGCGAAAGGTTCAAGACTCTCAACTCGCTTTTGATTATAAGTTCATGTTTATTCGAGATTAAATCACCCACTCGAAAGATCCCCTTCTCAGCGAGATTTCGAAAATACACAGACTTGTCACCAACACAAATAAATTTGTTGTTCCATAAGATAACTTTTGACAAGTCTTTTCCATTTAAATCCTGTATATTTAAATTATTTACCGCAGAGCACTTTGCAAAAGATTTTAAGCATTCTTCATAAAAGGCTGGTAATTTGATAGTCAATTTCTTCAAATCAAAGTCGCAACATAAGACTAATTTACCACCAACAGGTTTCAGATAATGCAAAAGGATTATTTTCCATCCACTCGGTTGATCATTTGCCAATTTCTTGCAGCAAAGTATTCTTTGTGTTTCAATTATGGAGTTTAAATGTGGGGCTTTAAGTCCTCCATCTTCGATATCACTGATAAGTGCAGAGCGTTTAACTTTATCCTTTCCTTTCCATATAAAATCAAAGATAATTTTGTTCGCTTCTTTCACAAATTCTTTATCCAATGATATCAAGCTCGTGCGATATAAGAACATAGGGATAATAAAGGTTTTGACAATTTGAATTCTCCCTATGATAGTCAAATCCCTCCACCTCCAGATTCGTAGCTTAAGAGCGAATGCACAGAAAAATCGAGCAAACCGTGGCCACAGCTCAAAACCTAACCTACCCTCATTTTAAGTCTGTAATAAGGTTTTAATGAATTTATAACACTGCTGAGGTTTAAATTTCAAAATGCGGCCGAATTTGGGAATTATTTGAGATTTTCGATTTCAACGGTCTGCGGGCCTAAAATTAGCCGCCGAACACGGCAATATAGCCTAGCGACAGAAATGAGCTGACTTTCATAAACGAGCGAATATATTGGCAATCTTTCACTTAAATCTCAAAAAACAGATATTAACAATTTCTGAACAGCACATTTTTTTAGATTTAGAGAATAAAATATCGACGAACGAGCACAATTTTGAAACGTAATTTGCATAATGCTTATAAATACAACAATTTACCGCTAAAACCAAAATCGAATTTTCTATATGGGGGAATTCTCCAAATCACCCCAAATCCCGCTTACTACCTAACAAGATATGGTACTTCAACACTATCTGAAAGTTAGTCTGGTGTTCTTGCGAACGCTTGTAAAATAGACTGATTATTTTGAGGTTATTTTGCCCCAAACAACCGCTGATTGACCCCAGGGTCAATTCATACGTGCACGTCACCTTAGTTTTATGCGTCGATTAAGGGAGAAACTAACAAGATTCTTTTAATATGTACCTGTTTTAATGAAATACACGCAATCTTCAAAAGGAGAGGCCGTTCAATGGATAATTTCTGTTCTTGAGAGCTTGTAGATTGTACCATGGCGTCTGCGACTGGACCTGAGTCTAGGTCTGTTTTCCCGTGACTGCGAAATCAGAATAACATCATGAAATAATTCTCGCTCGAACCTTCGTAAGTGAATCAGCTTTGCAGTGCCTTACCTGAGATAAAAAGTGGGCCGAATAGGAAAACATTCTAGCGCAATTTCGATCCTTTGCAGCACGTAGTGTATTTGCTAAGCGGCGATGGTATCAATGACTTTTTTAAAATTAGTTACTCACCTCCGATTGCGTGACCAGGCAATTATCGATTGTCTCCTGCGAAAAATAAGTGCACGGGAAACCAAAGCTTTCGGGATACAGTAAATTCATTTTCCTGTATGACCAGGTGTCCTTTTGTCCTATTTTAAAAGCGGTTAACTAAGATGATTAGCAAACATACTGTCCCACTTTTGAAAATCGTACAGAAACTGAATGTTCTGTTCTTCCGATTTTACCTCCAACCCCGGAGTGTTCAGAAGATATATTTGCTCTACGCATGAAAGGGAAATGGATCAAATTTTAAGGTTCAAGGCGGTTTTAAGGCATGGGTTACCAGTGGATTAGTCAGACTTGTCATAAGGTGCATTGAACAGAAAATTACAGGCATGATATCTCTGCTATGGTATGTCCATTAAGTGATTTTCCAGCAAACATTATTTTTTGACTTTTTTACCCCAAAGGTTTTTTCCGTTCAATTCTTATCTATGAGATCTAAACTTAGTTAAATTTCTGTAATTTGTTGTTAAATGCAATTCTGCAAACAACTAAGTATTTAATTTTCCTTAAAAGCTACATGAAATTGTACTGTTTAGCCGTAAATCATTAAAAAGAGAAAGCATCATGCTTTCTCTTTTCAAGTCCATGTCTGCTAAGGAGGAAATAGTTTGCTCTTTTCAAGAAATTGTTCTTGCCCATTGCGGTTTCAAACCAAGGATAGCAGCAAGTCTGTCGTGGTCATATACTGCTACTTCAGTGCAAACGAAGCATAGGCGCACAAATCAGCGCTTGCGTTTAGTCAGGTGCCGAAAATGAAGTGGAAACTTAACCCCAAGGGCGTCCGTGTTCGCTCCGGCTCCAAAAGGTAGAATCAGTTGTACAGTAAAAAGTAATGCGAAAAACCTGCGGGTGCTGGGGAAAGAAAGGCGTCTTATTTTTCTTTGGCTTGTTCTATTTTCGCGACGTGGTACAGGCTACGAAATACTGACAAGCTCAGTATATGTCTTCACCACCGAGAGTCACTTGCCCTTAGCCGGACACTCCCCTCACGTATCATGTTTCGTTCCTAAAGTTATTTCAAAGCATAGAACCAAACCTAATCAGCGGCCGAAGGCAGAAAGGGGGATGAGCAAACGGATGTCACAGCATATTTTGCAAGAAACTGGTATCCTTGTGCCTATCGGCTCAGGAACGATTGATTACTACTAGAATTAATATCAGGGTCAGAATTTGAGTGCTACAATGGGAGGAAAGGAAGAAAAGGAAACCGCCGCGCACACCTGTTAAGTCTTTTATAAACTTCTC